GGAATCAAGATATTCAACCAGAGACTCTGCCCGACTGCGACTCAGTCAACACATTCTCCAGGAACGGTCTTACCAGGAATATACAAAAGACTATATGTAAATATTGTGTACACTTTCTTGTTTCAATACATTTTGTTCTAAGTACATTTTGTGTTGCATTATTATTCCATGCATTAGTCAAGTTTCAACAACCATTCTAGCAAAGATACAACTTAGGTTGGCTGGTCATGTTGTGAGAATGGATGAGCATAGGCTTTCAAAAAAGGTGGTGTATGGACAACTACCAAACTCCAAGCGTTCAGTTGGGCGTCCACTCTTACGCTACAAAGACAAATTGAAATTCAACTTGAAACATCTCAATTTTGATCTGAAAACCTGAGAAGCCCAAGCATCAAACCGAAAGGAGTGGCGTAAAACATGTTTCATTAAGTTAAAGGGTTTCGAAGACATTAGACTGAAGCACTGTGGTCAGCTTCATCAAGCTATGAAACAGAGAAGCCATCGAAATCCTGCTTTAACAAATTTCATATATCAGTGTGGCTTTGTCACCCGCAGTAAGGCTGGGTTAGTATCACACTTAGGAAATGCACATATGAAATACGTCTTTCAATTACCTGATTTTCTTCTAAGTAGCCTCTGCTAGCATGCACAAGTGTAAAACAAAAGGCACCATCCAATGCTGACCCTCATTTATCTTTCACGATAGGAGAGTCCACCATATATATATATATATATATATATATATATATATATATCAAAGATACAACTGGGCTGGCCGTGTTGTGAGAATGGATGAGCATAGGCTTTCAAAAAAGGTGGTGTATGGACAACTACCAAACTCCAAGCGTTCAGTTGGACGTCCACTCTTACGCTACAAAGACAAATTGAAAGACAACTTGAAACGTCTCAACTTTGATCTGAAAACCTGGGAAGCCCAAGCATGAAACCGAAAGGAGTGGCGTAAGATATGTTTAAAGGTTTTTTTTGGTTTTTTTTTAAGACAGGAGACTGAAGCAACGTGATCAGCTTCGTCAAGCTCTGAAGCAGAGATGTCATCAAAATCTTGCTTTAACAAATTTCGTCTGTCAGGATGAATTTGTCGCTTGCTGGGCTAGTGTGACGTCACCCTGGCTCTCTGTCCTGGTTTTGTGCTGTGCTGGTCGCGGCACCAATTGTGACGCCACGGTCAGTCCTGGGCTGACTGCAGCACCATTTGTGACGATCTAACCCTTGGCTGGTTTGGATGGAAATCCGGTTTACCACGGAACCATGTGAGACACTAACCCCTCTGGTTGTCTTGGTCGCGGTCGATGTCTGGTTAGATTCGATATCAGCTTTGTCGTTCCCAGCTCGCTTCCAACGTCTGGTTACCGAAGTAACTGCTTTGATCTCTAGTCTAACCTACCCACGTTGTGATTTGATCTTAGGTAGACGAGATCAATCAGGCGTCGGGCCGTAGTGTAAGCCGAATCCGTGGCAAAGGTGATACCGCACAAGTGTATGTAAAAGAAAATAATGAAACAACTCAAAAGATTCAAATGTGTTGAAAAAATAACAAGTATCTTTCTATCTGTTTGCTGAATACAGGACTGCATCTTTCTCTCAAACCGCTTCTCTGGATTCGTGACACTTTGCGTTTCTTAGGCGAGTCTTAATATCTTAAGTTGTTTCTCAATAAACTGCTTTTTGGTATCTTCAGTCGATATTCATTAAAACTTGTTTTGGTGATGTGAGTCTAAGTCATTCTTCAAAAAAATTGTTTTTGGTTAGAAGTTAAAGTCGGAATGCGTGGAAATCTTTCAGTCAGCTCCTGCGAGGCTGGTCTCCTATCTCTAACCCAACTCAACTGCAAATCAATTCTAACACTAACTCTTACTCTAACTATCTGAAACTCTGGGGACGTTCGTTTATATGGACGCCGACCCAAACCGGGTGGGGCTTGTCGTGGTTTGGGTTTCTCGATAATTCCAAATCTGCAATAAGGATTTTCTTTTTTTCGGACAGGAAAATTTATCACTTCCCATTGTTGGAAGTCAATTACTTTCTGTTTTAGAGGGTTTCTCCCCCTCTCTGTGGTTGAGGTTCGTAAGGGAATTGTCCTCCTAAATTCTTCCTTTCTCATATTGCTATCTCACACCAATCCCCTCAGAGGGCGTCAACAGGTTTCCCTTCTTTCTCATATGTTTACCTTCGCCCATCACTCATGCCACCACTCAGCTAATGAACGCTCGGCAGTGTGTGTGTGGCCTCAGTTTACAATTATCGCCCAAAGAAAAAAAAATTATCTTCCCTTTTCTTTCTTTCTTTTCTATCGGCCAGAATTCTTATGGACCGCACCTCGCGGCTATTAAATTGTTATCTTAATCTGGGGTCACCTGGAATTCATTAGTGGGATTTTCGCCGACTCATTAACTGGGTGGTCGACTAAATCTCTTTGTCTTTCTCAACATCATCGCTTTCTGTCGCCAACAGCCTGTCCAGGTAACAATAATGATTTCCTTCGTCGGTCTTTTTTTTTTAAGATAACCGAATTGAAATTTTTATTATCGCTCTACGTGTTGGCCGATTATTATTTTTTTTATCCGTGTTCTGTTTGTCTTGGCACTTAACTTTTATCATGACAAGATCCGGACATACAACAGATGGGTCTCCTTCCAAAACCAAATGATATCTCCGAAAGATAGTTAATGGCTTTTTTTGTGGGGGGGGAGTTCTCCCCTAATTCTTTCTCGGTCGCATGCTTGACCTAGTTTCGATTATCTTCAAGAACTCTGCTTTGTATACCCCTTGACCGAATTGAAATTTTTATTATTGCCATACGTGTGGGCAGATTGTTATCTTTACCCGTATTCTGTTTTCCTTGTCGCGTTATGGCATAAATTAATTCTGACAGGATCCGATACCTGTCTTGCTTACGAATTTTCTATCTTCTGCGAAAAAAAATACCTTTCTTCGTAAATGAAAATAAAATCTTTACCCATTTTTCTTTTGTTAAAAAAATAACATTGCTCAGTATGTCTTTCGTTATAGCTTTTTCTCGCCTTAAGTATTTCTCGTTTTTAATTTCTATGTTTAATTAGTTAGCCAATTACCATAGCGACATAGTGTCACACTAGTGTCACACTTAAGAAAGCACAAATGAAATATGTCTTTCCCTCTTTTCTCCACAATAGCTCCTGCTAGCATGCATAAGTGTAAAGCAAAGGCACCATCCAATGCTGACCCTCATTTATCGTTCATGATAGGAGAGTCCACCATATATATATATATTTCTGAGTATAGAATATATGTATATATAGAGAGAGATGTGTGTGTGTGTGTGTGTGTGTGTGTGTCGGGTGTAGCAGCACCAATCGTGTAACAGTAAAATTGTCCAATTGTTAGATGATTAAGTTTTGAACCGTTTTATCTTAGAAATAATTAAAGATATCTTACTGGAATTCTCCGAGGTTTTTATAACACTATTCAGCAATAAGTATGTATATAGCTCTAAGTTGAAATGATGATCCCTCTTCCTGTTGTGACCCCTTGATCCAGTTTTCCTCTCTACTCTTCCTCCTTTTTTAAACTTATTCACCGTTCTTTTGATGGTTCTTGAATGAACTTTGAAGATGGAAGCCAGAGTATGAATGTTGGTAGCATTACCAAAGGCCTGGATGAACATTTTCCTCTCACTATTGCTCAGTTGGGAAGATATAGTGGGGCTGAGAGAAAACAATTTTAACCTCTTCTCTTTCTAGCTGAATAACTCGGAGGGCTTTTAGTGATTCTTACGACAAATGGCTAAATATCTTATCTGAAAACCTGGGAAAAAAGAATGTCAGTATTTTGGGGGGGATATTAAACATTTTGTGTGATGGACAATTATTTCATGCTGTTACACGATTTGAACAATTTTGCTGTTACACGTTATATATATATATATATATATATATATATATATATATATAAGATAACGATATACATTTTATATATCGAGAACACTATAGAGAAAATTGTATGACAAAGCGGGAAATGTTTACTAGTGACGCGTTTCGTTGGAAGTAAACTTTTTCCACTATGACATCACACACACACAAACACACACACATATATATATATATATATATATATATATATATGGAGAGAGAAGCAGCATATTTTCATTTGAACAAAAATATAGACATATTGTGTCTACTTATTTTTATACTGATCGTTTCGAGTTATTTAATCAATTTCTTGATGTTGAGATGAAATTCATCAAGTTAGGCGCCATAGTATTTTTTTAACACAAGTACTTTCGACCTTTTCTGAGATCATATTCAGTGGTAAATTACATAGACAAACACAAGTAAAATCTTTGTATATATTAATTGGGTTCAAATATAGATCAAATATTGATCGGAATCCGTCAGAATGATAAAATAAAGAACAAATAGAAAATGTTTATCAATGTAACATGTTTCACTTTTATTAAAGCTTTGTTAGAGGCACATTGAAAGTGAAATATGTTAGGTAGCTAAACGTGTTGTATATGTTAGGTAGCTAAACGTGTTGTATATGTTAGGTAGCTAAACGCCAGTATAAAAATTTCGAAGAACGATGTCCTTAGACCTACATTTTTAACCATTAAACCTTTGAGCCTGGCCACCGCTTTAGCAGAGAAAAATGACGTAATGCCCTGCCACCGATTGAACAGTGGTAGAGAAAAATGACTTAGTAACCCCCCGCTGGTTGAACGCTGGGTAAACACTTGTAACTAATTTTATATCTACCGTGAAACATTCAGTTAGTCAGTTATGTGCCATGCGTGATACATATGACTGACGAGGCAGATTTTTTTCCCGCAGTAGGTTGCCATTTCTTTCTGCGGTAGACCAGTTGCCATTCAAAGCTATAGAACCTGGTGTGTCCTGCTATTTATCCATAGCTGGGGGGGTAGAAGAAGAGGATACATACCTTTCGCAAGGGTATAAGCACGTACGGGATTCGACTGGAATTCTCCGATTCCTCAATCCGAGCCGCTATCCATTACTCCACCGTGCCTCCCCTTACTCCACCGTGTCTTCCCTTACTCCACCGTGCATCCCCTTACTCCACTGTGCCCCCCTTACTCCACCGTGTCTCCCCTTACTCCACCGTGCATCCCCTTACTCCACTGTGCCTCCCCTTATTCCACCGTGTCTCTCCTTACTCCACTGTGCCTCCCCTTATTCCACCGTGTCTACACTTACTCCACCGTGCCTCCCCTTACTCCACCGTGTCTCCCCTTACTCCACCGTGCATCCCCTTACTCCACCGTGCCTCCCCTTATTCCACCGTGTCTACACTTACTCCTCCGTGCATCCCTTTACTCCACCATGCCTCAAACATTACATACCAATTATTTGCGAATTTTGACTCAGGAGCTCAGTCAGAAGAGTTGAAATTGTTCAGGAACACAGGGCTCAAAGGATTAATCTCAGAACGAGGCTGTATACAGCTGACAGTTCAGACATTTCTAGGCGGGTCACCCGTCATGCAGGATTTCCATATGAAAGTTTCGATAAAATGATCCTATTTAAGAATATGGCTTAAGTTCTGAAGATAATGTTTTGGTTTTGTAGGATCTGGCGGTGTTGTGCGAAACTATCCTTAGAGCAGCCTATTTTATGTTCAATTTTCTTATTGCCTAGCGTGATTTTTTTTATAACTGATCCCTACACCGAAGTAAATTAAACGTTTAATATTTACTAAATTCAGATCCGAAATTTTCATGATATATTCAGAATAGGTGCCATCACTGTTTTCATCCCAATTCTGGATCATAGTTTTTCTTTTGAAACGTTTTATCTTGAGTCCTATTTCTTCGGACACTTGTTAGAGAGTGTTGCTAACAGCAGGAGAAAACGTATTTAACACAGCTGAAATTATAATTTCCAAGGAGTTTTACTAACCTCAGTAATATAGATCTTAACTTTGATACCGTTCAACTAAAAAAAAATTGCATTTATGTTTATAAATTTACATGATGAATGAGACACCAGCTCGAGTTAGCTAGCCGTTGACACGTCAAGAGGTCTTCCATCCTCTGATAGATCCAGTACTGCGATACCGCATTGGATGCTGGACAATCTCCACACAGATGAAGTAGGGACTTGAAGCAAAAGAAATATGGTTCTACAGGAAGATGCTGAGAAACCATTTCAGAAAAACTGGAAATGAAAAGGACACCTAAACTTAACATCAGAAAGAGACAGATGGTTTTTTTAGGACACATGATGAGGAAAGAAAGCCTGGAAAATGTAACACTCACAGGACATACTGAAGCCAAGAGGAACAGCTGAAAACAGCACATAACTTTCCTAACGACCTTGTGCTAAGATGACGGAACAGGGTTTAGGAGAGATAAAAAAAAAGGACAAAATTTACTAAGGGTTACAGAAGACAGGAAATTGTGGAGAGGCATGAGCGCCAACATCCGTGAGGAACACAAAACACAGAAGAAGAGGAAAATGGATTAACGACATCCTGTATGTGTCGATTTCAAAAGTTTCGCCCTAAATAAAAAGGAATCGGAAATGCTTCCACAAAGAGCCAAAACATTCAAGAAGACGTCAGGAAATGCGCAACGCTTGTAATGAACAGATGAAAACAAATGAGAAACCAAGGAAGGAATCGAATTATCCAACCAAGGAAATATCAGAGGCTGAATGAAAACTAAAGCTACAAGTACCGTTGTGTTTCGGAATCAGATAACATCGAAGAGAAAAATATGAAGGGAAAATATTTTTAGAAAAAAAAGCAAAGAATTCTTCGGAATATCAAAGAAAAATTATTAAAGACCAATTCTACAATAGAAAAATTAAAGAAAAAAATACTTAAAGAATAATACTTAAAAAAAAAAGAATAATTTGAGGCACTCTGGATACTTCTTAAACTGGGCAATTTCCATTTTGTCATACTCCGGACACTTCTTAAACAGAGATACGAGCCCGACAGGCTATAGTGCTAGAGGAAGGCCAAGACTAATCAGCAGTGATAATTGAATTGAATTGATTCTACTCTCACGAAAAAGTACGCTGGAATGAGCAAGGAAAGGTTACAGGCGCTACGACTAACCAAACAATGACGCAAAGGTATCAAAAAATGACGAATATCCCAGAGGCTAAGGAAATAAAGGGGTGAACAACCCACCGTGTAACGAAATTTTAAAAAAAGAGTGAAACGGTTTATAATTTTTAGCTCCAGATTCCCTCAACATAACCAAGTAGAAGTCCAAAATACTTCAAGATACTGTTGCTTAAATGACTGGTTTGATCATGTAATAAATGGTAGGAACGCAAAGCCGGACCTGTTTGCTAAAAATAATATATACAAGATGTCCATAAAGGTCGTGTGCACTTTAAAAACTTATAACTTTATTTGTATTTGCGATAGAAATAATCTGTAAAAAATTTTATAAAGTTTAATGTACCTAGTTTTAAGTATAGCTAAAATAACTAATGTGATTTCAAGCATTACTGTAAATCAGTTGGCAAATGTTTTCTGTGAACTGCAGAATCGTATTACCCTTTGTATTGCTAATGATGGAGGACATGTGGAAACTTAAATAAAATTTCAATAAAACCTTAAAAAATATAGATTTACTTCTTTCTAATCCTTTTTACAAATTATTTCTATCGCAAATGCAAATAAAGTTATAATTTTTTAAAATGCACACGAACTCTATGGACACTCTGTATATATATATATATATATATATATATATATATATATATATATATATATATATATATATACCGGGTGGAACAGCAAAATTGTCCAATTGTTACATTAAGCTTTGAACCGCTGTATTTTAGAAATGATTAAAGATATCTTACTGGAATTCTCCGAGGTTTTTATAACACTATTGGACTCTACTTTGAACAATAAGAATTTATAATTCCCCTCCAGTCTTAACTGAAGAATCGTTATGAAATCGATCACAAACGAAAATGACATGTTCATCATTAATTAATCATAGCTAAGGATCGGAAGCTCATGAAGTATTGAAATAAAGTTTTTATATATATATATATATATATATATATATATATATATATATATATTACTCCAGTAACATTTTCCATCTTTTCAAGATGACCTAAAGTAACAAGGTGCCTCACAGGTTCCACGTACGATTTCATTTGCAAGTCTTTTTTCACTGGTCTTTGGACTGTCATAGCTGAAACCCATCTCCTACATGCCAAACTTCTTATGGATTGAGTTGGATCTTTTCTAATTGATCTTTTCAGCTCTAAGTTGAAACGATGATCCCTTTTCCTGTTGTGACCTCCTGATCCAGTTTTCCTCTCTACTGTTCCCTCTTTTTTTAAACATATTCACCGTCCTCATGATAGTTCTTGAATGGACTTTGAAGATGGAAGCGAGAATATGAATTTTGGGACCATTACTGAAGTCCTGAATGATCTTTTTTCTCTAACCATTGCTCGTTTTGCAAGACAGTGGGGCTGACACAAAATGATTTTAACCTCTTCTCTTTCTAATTGAATAACTCCAAGGGTTTTTAATGATTCTTACGACAAATGGTGTAAAGATGGCTAAACGTTTTATCTAAAAACCTGAAAAAAACACTCGATTAGTTTAGTGTTTTTATTTAGATATTAAACATTTCCTGAGATGGACAATTACGCTGTTACACGATTAGGACAATTTTGCTGTTACACCCGGTCCATAGGGAACGAAGGAATTATACCGAAAAATTGGAAAATCGTTGTGCCTCGTTCTGAAACTGAAGAATCTCGGAACCATGACGGTGAGGGTTGTGCCAATAATCAGTGGAACACTTGGAAATGTGCAAAAAATCTCTACAGTGAAGAAGGTCTCAGAAGAATTAAAATCACGGCGTTATGATGTAAAATGACACTGATAAGCTTCTACATATCTAAGGCATTTTACTGACTCCTTACGAATTTACATTTTTGTGAATATGTAAATTCATGAAATAATAATAATAATAATAATAATAATAAAAGCTCTGTGTCAGTTTGTGTGTGTATGGAGTGTGTGACGAAAAGAGCCAGGACACCCGTATATATCAATTCGTCCTTTGTGAAAACGGTCGAGTACTTACTGAAAAGGTTTTTATTGTTCAAGCATTAAAACGTAACAGTCGATTGCTATTATACGCCACGCAGAAGCCGGGCCGCAAAATTCCGGATTCGATTTTGTTGGCCGCCAGTAAATGAAGACAGAGAAGGCTACCCGAAAGTGGAGAGTTGCATTGAATTGAGAATTGGGACAAGCGTGACGTTATTGATCGAACGCATAGGAGAAAGAAAGAGAGAGAGAGAGAGAAAGAGAGAGAGAGAGAGAAAGAGAGAGAGAGAGAGATGTGGGCTAGAGAGGACAGCGTTGCCGTTCTGTTCTTGCAGACAAACAAAAAGAACTTAGCTGCATTGCCCGTTCTATAAATTTGCATTAAATATCCGAGAGACGAAGAGAGCGTTGCTATATTTACCATTCTATTTTTTGTCGACACCCCCACTGCATTAGACTGACAGTGAGTGTGGGGGAGTGGCAAAGATTAGCATAGTCTGGTACAATACCAAAATAAACAGAGAGCAACACTCAGCATATCATAATTAAGCAAGCTAGACAGAGAAAGATATTGTTTAGCCGTGTGGCCTAAAGCCAAGCCAAGCTATGGCTGGGAGAAATACAATACCTATCACACTATGGCAAAAGGCCAAACCAGAAAGCGCGCGATACTATATTTATCATAGAGTGTCAGAAAGACATAGATGTACTGTTCTATTCATAGTCTGGCACAAGACCAAGACAAAAAGAAAGGTTAAGTTAGAGGGATACTAAGTTAAATATAGTTTGGCTCAAAGCCAACTGTCACCAGATAGAAATACTTTACTTTTCTTTGTAAGGCACAAGGCCAAATTAGAAAAAGCTCCATACTACGTTTATGGCAGTGTGGGATAAAGACATAGAGAGAGTATTCTAATCATAGTCTGGTACAAGGTCAATATAAATATATGAAGCTTTGGGTATGGAAAAAGTCGATGATAGATACTAATTTTAACATAGTGTGGCTGAAGGGAAAATAACGTGTAATATGTCACAAGGCCATGATAATGACAAAGGCTAGCATAGAGAGATAGCTGAAGATTGACTCAAAGCCAAGTATAGGCGGATAGGATACTATACTTATCAAAGCATGGTAAAAGGACATTTAATTAGAAAGCGCGGATACTACGTTTGTCATAGTGTGGCAAAAGAAACACAAAAGGAGTATTCTAATGATAATATGGAACAAAACTATGATATAGAGATACTAAGTTTAATATAGTGTAGCTGACAGCAAAATAAAGGCAGGAAGAAATATTATATAAAGATACGGAGCTTTTCGTTGTGTGGTATGTGACTTACACCAAGAAATACCAAAGATTTGAATCGAATCGAATTTAACGTTACTAAGGAATCTTTGTTTCTAAAAAGTGTTAATATGTGGTGACCCCAATACGTATTGCACAAACTATTGTTTAAAGATGAGGTAATATTGGGAAGAGATGGAATAACAAATTTACATAATCAAGATTTGTGGGCGGATTGGAATCCCTATGCTACAATACAGGTTAGACACCAACATCAGTCTATGATTAATGCCTGGGCTGAAATTGTAGTTGTTTTCCCAAAACATCTTACAGGAGCAGTCTGCACTGATTTTATTTTGAACACACTTCCAGGCCTGATAGAGGATGTATACCTGCTAAGACGCATGTGGTTTATGCATGATAGGTGTCCAGCACATTTTAGCCACATTGTTCGCAATGCACTGGCTGACATCTACAATGAAAGATGGATGAGTAGGTGCGTCCCAGATCAATGACCAGCACGTTCCCCCGACCACAGTTCTTCGGATTTTTATCTGTGCGGCCACCTAAAGTTTATGAGGCAGACATTTTATAATGCAGTGACGCTTTATCAAAGTGTCATGGAGGCCTGCGAAACCGTTCCACACCGTGTGGGAGTATTTTAAAGAGTCCTCTAGTCAATGATCCGACGGGTGCATGCAAGTGTAGAAGCAAGCGAAGGACATGTTGCACATATGTTATGAGTTGCTGTGTTGAGGTAGATCAATGGCCTTTTGGACATATCTTTATATAGACTTTTGTTTGTAAAAATATTTCTGATAGATCCTATACAAATATGATCAATACAAATATGAAATTTGTTATTTAGCTGATTATTTTTTATTTAACACTCCGGTTTCTAAAAGTAATTATTTATTAAGAAAATGATTACTTATTTTTAGAAACCGGGGTTCCAAATATAAGATCAAACATCTAAGTGACAAATTTTATATCTCTATCTATAAAAGGCAGGATGTGTGGGGGGGGCTAACGAATGCACGGCCGCAATTTTCGACGGATTTGCACCAAAATTTACATGCACATGCTCCAATTTAGCGCAAAGGCCAAGACCGACTTTGCATTTCCCAACTCCCATCGATAGTGGAAATAATCGATTTATTCATGCTTCTACGGCAGTTTTCATGTAGTTTGCGGTCATTTTCTACTGGCCAGAGTGAGAGCCAATAGCTGGCTGCCACAATTAGGCAGGGAGA